ACTTGTTGGGCCGAAGGGCTTGTTTCCACACTGTAGGAATTCTATGAAAAGTTTCTATGAAGAAATGCAGCGTTGTAGAGATTGGGTAGGATGGGTGGTCTGGGTGGGATGCTCTTTAGAGGGTGGGTATGGACTTGATGGGTCGAATGGCCTGCTTCCCCACTGTAGGGAATCTATGAAAAGAGGCTGATTGAGTTATCCCACTTTAAGTGTGGCCTTCAGTGAGTGTATGCATGAGACTGACAGATTGGCATCGCAGACATTACGGTGGATGTTTGATGGCATTGGGGTGGGGGTGGGGGAGGGTTGCCTCCTGTCAGTGTGAGTGGAACCTGAAAGGTCCCCAGTGAGGGCAGGGCCTTGCACTCACTGTTTCGTAGCGTTTCCCTGTCCCTTGGATTTTTTTTCTCCTCCTGAAGAAATGTAGAGGGAGGGAATAAAGCCCAGTGTTACACTACAAACCAGTTATTCTTTCTCATTGATTGTGGACATTGCTGACTCACCTAGCATTGGTTACCTGTCTGCATAAGCCCTTGAACTGAGTGGCTAGTGAGGCTATTTCTGATGTGAGTTAAGAGTCAGTTACATTGCTGCAAAATTAGAATCCTAAGTAGGCCAGACCGGGTAAGGATAGCAGATTTCCCTCCCCTAAAGGGTTTTTTTTTAACAACTGATTGTAGATTATTTTCAAACCAGTCTGTTCAGAGATGTTATTACACACCACTGGAGCAGGTGGGACTTGAACCTGGGTCTCCTGGTAGGGACACTACCACAGTGCCATCAGACCCCATGATGTTGATAAAAATGTCCTGGTCACTATCAAAGCCAGAGTTAGTTTAAATACCACCATCTGCTCTGGTGGGATTTGAACCCATGCTTTCAGGGCATTAGCCTGAGCCTCTTGTTTATGAGTCCAGTGTCACAACTACTACACTGGTGTCTGGTGTGAACTAGGAGCCTTTCTGTCTTATCAATCAATGGGCAGTGCCAGTGAGATAGGGAGATGCTGCAGGATAGATTTACGAGAATGGTTCCAAGGATAAGGGACCTTAGTTCTGAATGTAGATTGGAGAAGTTAGGACTGTTTTGCTTGGAGAGAAAATCCGATTGAAGTGTTCAATGTCTGAAAGTGTAAAGTAAAAGTGATACGAGGAAAGCTGTTTTCACGCAGCGAGTGTTAGGGATTAGGAACACGCTACCTGAAAGTGTGGTGGAGGCAATTTCAGTCGAGACTCTCAAAGGATGTTTTGCAAAGGAAGATGTGCAGGAGAAAACAGGAAAATGGCACTGTACAATGCTCATTTAAGGAGCTAGGGTAGACTCGATGGGCTGAATGACTTTCTCTGTGCTTTAATAGTTCTGTGCTACTGTAATTCTGTGCACAAACCCCTTTCCAGGACTTGAGGGCGATCTAGCACAGTGCCCCAGGGCAGTACCAAGGGAGTGCTACATTATCCCAGATACGAGAATTAAAATCACACCAACAGAGATAATACCAGGAGACACACAGTGCAAAGTGGCTCTTGCCCCTTACACGTCCCCCAACCCCAGAAACTGAGATTGAAAATCTTTTTTAAAAGACAAGCACAGTTATGATTGTGCTAAACTAACTCATACTTGCAAAATTCAGAATCCAGTGTCTAACGTTAGATGCGATTTTGCAGTTGGATGGCGCTTACTCAATAACGGTGACTGCTCGAAGAAATACACTGGAAACCAATTTATGATAATCAGGTCTTGCATTGTGATTCATTTGTGTGTACTACACTTATTCACACTTTTGGCCCTGTGCTTTCTAGGCAGGAGGCATTTCATAGAATCCCTAGGGTGTAGCAGCAGGCCATTCGGCCCATTGAGTTGACACCGACACCCAGACCCACCCCTTATCCTATCACTGTAGCACTGCATTTCTACATCCTTGGACACTACGGGGCAATTTAGCACGGCCATCCACCTAACTTGTATGTCTTGATCCATCCCTATGACAAACAGTGTGCACCACACAGCGCCCTCTCCTGCCATATAAGTTGTTAACTCCTTTCTAAAATTGTTATTTTTCAGTTTTGCATTTTAATCCAGATGAGCGTAAGCCGGAAATCTTCAATTTCATGTCACGTTTTAGCGATGTTTAAGTTCTGTACCGAGCAATTAAAATAAGTATATTAAAGGATATGAAACCAAACAAAAACCGAGCATTTGTATAGCAGCTATCATAACCTCAGGATGTTTCAAAGTGACTTAAAACTAATGAGGTGTAGCGACTGTTGTAATGTAGGATATGCAGCTCACCTGTGTGTACACAGCAAGACCCCACAAGCAGCAATGTGATTACAACTTAAGTAATCTGTTCATTGAATCATAGAATCCCTACAGTGCAGAAGCAGGCCATTTGGCCCATCAAGTCCACGCCGATCCTCTGAAGAGCATCCCACCCAGATCCACCCCTCTACACTATCCCTGTAACCCTGCATTTCCTATGGCAACCCACCTAGCCCGTACATCCCTGGATATTATGGAACAGTTTAGCATGGCCAGTCCACCTAACCTGCATATCTTTGGATTGTGGGAGGAAACCCATTCGGACGTGGGGGAGAATGTGCAAACTCCACACAGTCGCCTGAGAGTGGAATTGAACCTGAGTCCGTGGCGCTGTGAAGCAGCTGTGCTAACCACTGAACTACCGTGCCACCCAAGGGGTATATATTGGCCGGATTGCCCTGTGACATTGCATATCTTTTCCTAAGAGGGCAGGTGGGCCCAGGTTTTGTGTCAACCAAAATGTGGGGGTAGAGTGAGGGTGAGAGTGAGGTGGGAGTTGAATGTCCCTCTTCCTCACCCACATCTACAGTCTGTGATTGGGTACTAGACCAGCTGAGCTTGTGTCTGGACTGTTAACTCACTCACACATGGCATGGTATGCCCAGTACTAAAAACTGCCCAGCTAAAGAGCTACAACAAGGTGTACAGCTGGATGAACATAGCAGGCTAAGCAGCATCAAAGGAGCAGGAAAGCTGACGTTTCAG